GTGGATACAGGGCTCAGCAGCTTCCCCGAGAGATTGCTATTCCTTCTCATCAGGTGACAACTTACCCTGCTTCGCGATGTGGCGAATGAGCGACGGGTCAAAGGCGCGCAACATGCCTGGCCTATGTCTCGCGCCGAAGCCGTTCGACTCCAGCATCTCGCAAGCCCTGCCCACCATGGACTCGGCCTTGAAAACCTAAACAAACTGAGCGGGGAGGCGGCCAATAATAAACAGGGAGGGGGTGGGGGGGGGGGGGCATCGGCAGCAACAGAGAGATGGGGTCGCCAACCTGATACATGTCCCCTGTCGATGCTGGCTTGGACAAGTCCCCATCCGTCAAGAAGGCGCACTGGCCATCCACAACTTTGTCGGGGGGGGCTGCGGCAATCCGCGACGCATGCCGCCATGCGAACTCTGGCTGGCTGGGCCGCGCCGTTGCACTGCAGCGACCCGAGTTGTTCCATGACGGCCCCGCCGCAATGGCCATGTGAGACTGGTGCAGACTGCGGGACATTGATCAAGGCAGCGGTCACGCCCCTTGCCCCCGTCAGTTGGTCAATTGCCGTCTTCGCACAATTTCTCTGCAGCGATCCTGCCCGTGCCCCCGAGACAGGTTCTGTTTTCGCTGACTCTGATGCGGCGCGCTTCCGCGCCGCTTCTGTTGACGCGCCTGTTGCGACGGCTGCGTCGGACAAGGGCCTCGCCCGGAGTAAACGTTCAAGTTCGCTGATCTCTGAAGCGCCGCGCGCACTTGTTGCCCGCTGGAAGAAATCAAGCAGATATGGCCATTTCATGACAACGTCTTCCGATGCAATGTCCCGCGCGAGGTCCGTCTGAACATCCCGATTGAAGGTGCTTCGGAGACAGCATGGGTTTGTCAATGTTACCTGTCGGTGCAATTTCAATGATCTGGCAGGGGAGTTCATGTTTCACACGACGCAGCCACATGTTTGAATGAGTGCCAATGGATAGCGCGAGCATGGCATCTTCTTGCATGGGGAACCCCTGGTGCCGAGAAGGCCTTACATTGAACAAGCAGGTCTCATCGTGGTAGTCCGTTCTGGGCTTCACCTGAACTGCGCGTGCCCCGAAGTTCGCTTTTTGTTTAGCCCCAGCCTGAAGACGCGCGCTTCTTCGCATGAGCGAGCGATTTCTGAGCCGAAATGGCGAGCCCGCTAAGTCACAGCCCCCCCCCCCCCCCCCCCCGAAATCAAGGGGCATCGACTGTGGCCATGCCAAACACGGGTGCCTTCTCAAGCATCCCCACATCGACTAAAACGCTCTGCCAATCGGACCGTCTTCCTCGCATCTGGCCAAATGTGACGTCACTTCAGCCTCAACTGCCTTTTACGGCTATCCCCAACTCTTCATCAACTAGCCCTCCCTGTCCTTCCTCCTCCCCCCCGTGGCTTCTTTCTCTCCCCCTATCTCTTATTTTTCTCTTTCTCTCTATCTTTTTCTCTCTTTCTCTCCTCTCCCCCCCCTCCCCCCCCCCGGCGCGCGCTCCCAATCTGCGCGCTTGGGGCGGAAAAAGGGAGAGGGGAGATGCGGGTGGGCGGGCGCGCGCGCGCGTGCGTGTGTGCGTGTGTGTGTGGGGGGGGGGGGGGCGGGCAAGGGAGGAATGGGGCAACTAGCGGGCGCAAGTTGGGACAAACCGACATTGCCTGGACGGCATCTTCCACTGCAATCATTCAGGAGTGCCGGGCAACAATCTATCTGCTCGACTTCGGACCGTCGCGAACCTCCTCGGGCCAAACAGCTGCGGATAGGCCGCAGCGCTGTTGCGCAGATGGAAAGCGATTTGTTTTTTCATTGCTGAGGGGCCTGCCGGGGCTTCTTGTGGGCCGATGGAAGGCGGCTCCTTCTGTCTCTGCAAAGGGGCCTCCAGGGGCCTCCTGTGCGCCGAGGGGGCGCCCCCCTTTCAATGTAACCAGCCTCCGAGGGCCACTGAGCGCAGATAAAGCCCAAGCCTCCACCTCAGGCCTTCATTTCCTCCTCCTCCTCCTCCATTTCCTCCCCCATTTCCTCCTCCTCCTCCTCGCCCCCCTCCTCCGCTTCCTCCTCCTCGCCTTAGCAAGCCCTCCGAGGGACTTTCGAGAGGGCAGCAAATCCTCCGAGGGGCCTCCGGTGTGCCGATGGGGCGCCTCGCTTTTCAATATAAGAAACCTGCAGCGCGCAGATGGAAGGCGGCTCGATTCCGAAATCTGGCTCGTAGGTGCGAGGGGCGCCCAAGCCCCCCCCCCCGCTGCCGCGGCCCAACTATAGCTATAGCTAACCCATTTAGCTGGATTTAGTAACCACCTTAGCTAACCCACGTAGCGAACTTTGCCTATGGTTGGCTGACATCTTGGCTACACGCTTGGCAAGGAGGCTACAAACTGCACGCTGCTTAGTGAACACACGTAGCAAACAGTCGACGTTCAGCGGCGGCCCGCAACTACTTCATCAAGTGCACGGAAGCTATATAAGTTCTGGCGCGCGTATCGCATAGTTGTGCGTGGGTTGGTGGCAGTTGCTATCACGCGATGGGGATACTACAATGCAAGCGACCACCTACTTCCCACACAAGATTTAGCAAACGCGCGGCCCATCCAAGTAAGGGGGTCTGGTTTAGAAATGAAGGCGCCCCATCGGAGAGGGGGGTCCGGAATATTAGGTCGCATTTGGAGGGGGGTCCGGTTTTTCAGGGGTGGGGTCGATTAAGAAGGGCTCCGGAGCACTCGACATGTTTTATATATATATATATATATACAAAAAAAATGTACCCGCGGCGACGCGGGCGGGGCCCCACGGGCGGGCCGCGGCGTGCGGCGCGAAACCAGCGGCGGAAGCCGCGTGCTGTGCTCGGGCCTGGCCCCCGCAGTGCCCTCCGCAAGCCGCGCACCCGTCCGGGGAAGCCGAGAGGATGAGCCAAAAGAGGGCCCCTACTCCAAAGCCTTTCTTAATCGACCCCCCCCCTAAAACACCGGACCACCCTCCAAATGCGACCTGATTTTCTGGACCCCCCTCCTCGACGGGCGCTTTGGTAAACGGGGCGCCTTGGTGAACCAGGCAACGTGATAGTCGCAGTATTGCAATGAGGTTGATTCCAAATCCTATTAATCGACCCCCCTAGATACCTGGACCCCCCTCCAAATGTGACCTGATATTCCGGACCCCGCTCTTCGACGGGGCACCCAAATAAACTGGACCCCCGGACCCCCTCAGTTACAAAAAAGGCGCCTTAAAAACCAGACCCTGGGGACGATGTGTAAGGGATTTTGAGTAAATTCCCAATCAGTGCTTGCACTGAAGAGGTCCTAGCGGGAATTGACAAATCTGGCGAAAGTGTCCTGCTGATTTTGGTGGCCGGCTGGGTTCCCGGGGTCCCGGTTCCGGGTTCCCGGGTTCCTGGTCATTGGTTCCGGTCCGCGGTGGGTTCCGGGTTCCTGGATTCTCCGGTCGATCTCTTTGTCGATTTCTTTATCGATCACAATTCAAACCATCCACTGATCGGGGCTTTTCTCTGGTGTAATAAAATTAACCCTCTGGGAGGGGACCTGAATTAGGAGGGCCAAAAACATCAGGGATATGGGGTCTGTTCTGCAGATGTATCGAGCCTGACAGCCCAGACTTATTCTCCCTGATGCAAAAATACGGGGGCCTCAGTAAGGCTGCGTCTTCATCGTGTTATCAGGGTCAGGTGTTCTTTTGTCCACGACGACAAATTGCATCGATACCGCTGCTCCACGGTCCTCTGCTGGGGTGCGCTGGGACGGTGACCAACAATCCGCGGTGAATCCAGCGGTGGCGACGATCGCAGGAGGCCCATCAAGCCTAGGCGAAATCGAGACAAGGATAGTGGTATTGGTATGTATTTGTTCCCTCCTCTGGGAGCCACTCCCACATGCAGCCGACTCCCCAGACATCCGGCTGCTCCAGTTTTGGTCAGATATGCGTGGGCCCCGAAGGTCTGGACCACTTCCCCGGGGCCGGCTTCTGCTCCTGGGCCGTTTCTTGACCCTCCCGCGGCCCAGCGAGGCCCCCACAGAGGCCGACAACGACCCCCCAGACCGCCCGCGCCATTTCCTCGGGAGCGTCGGATATCTCCTGGCCTTGCGCGCCGGGCGGCTCCTCGCTGCGCGCAGCGCCCCTGGCCCTCAGCGCCCCCAGCGCCGCCGCGAGCAGCCTGCGCGCCTCCCCCGGCCTGCCCAGCTCCTCGTGCAGCGCGGCCGCGCACCGCGCCACGCGCCAGCCGCCCGCGGCCGCCGGGGCGCTGGCCGCCGCCGCCAGCGGCGGCGCCGAGGCCGCTCGCCGCAGGGCCGGCGCCGGCGCGGTCGCCCGCGGCGGGGCGGCGGGCGCCGCGGCCGCGACGGTCGCCGCGTCCGCCAAGGGCAGCAGGCGGTGGCACGCGGGCGCGCCGACGGGCACGTCGGCGGCCCACGCCTGGTAGGAGTCCCGCTCCTCGTCCTCCTCGTCACCGAAGTCGGGCAGCTCGGCCCTCCTGGCGCCATCGGCGAAGTAGTTGAATGCCAGGGCCCACCGCTCCTCGGCCGCGTCGCCGCGCAGGTCCGGCGCGGCGTGCAGCGTCCGCCCGTGGTGCGCGGCGACGTCGCCCAGCAGGAGCCCGCCAAAGTCGGACACGGTGCCGCACCACTCGCTGCCCGGCACACCATCGGCCCACCTGTGGCTGCCGCTGGCGTAGAGCAGCGCGGACCCGCCGTCCTCGGCGGGCGGGACGGCCTGGAGTGGGAAGTCTTCGGGCTACGCTCAAACAGCACCCAGAGGTAGCCGCAGCTGGCCTCAGCAGGCCCCCCGAGCAGTCTGGGGCGGTCTTAACCAACAGTTCAGCCCTGGAGCGCGGGGGTGTTGAGGCCGGGGGGCCTGCTAAAGCCAGCTGGGACTACCTGACTACCTGATGTGGGCCAGCCTCAAACGATGCAAGCGCAAACTTTTCGGAGCTCCACGCAGATGTCTTGGACAGGCGGTGGCAGCCGGGCCTCCCTACCTGGCGCGCAAGGCTGGAGGCGCCGCCAGGGGGACTCAGCGCCGATCCAAGAGGAGATCTGCCTGGGTCTCCGAAAGTTCATGTTTACGTAACTGTTTGAACATCACAGCCTGGAGCGGCACCCACAGGGTCAGGTACCTTGGAGTCCGCCGGTCTGTTTTCAGCCCGCGGCCCCAGAGATTTCCCGACCCTCTCCCCGGGGCAAGCGTTCTATACGGATCCGTTTCTGATGACCCCGGGGCCCGGCAGCGGCTCCCGGGGGCCGAAGTCGAGGAAAGATCGCCCGCACTGCCAAAATCATACCGTCGGAGACCTCCTCCTCGGAGATCCTCCTCCTCCTCCTCCTCCTCCTCCTCCTCCTCCTCCTCCTCCTCCTCCTCCTCCACCTCGTGGATACCGGTCCGTGTCCAGGGGGACGTGCTCGGCGTCGGTGTGCCAGCCCGTCGCGGTGTCCCCCGGGCGCTTCACGAAGAGCGCGTCGCCGTAGAGGCGCACGCGGGCCACGCCGAGCAGCGCCGCGGCGGCGGTCCCGAGCGCCAGCGCCACGCGGCGTACGTCCTGGGAGCCCCTCCAGAGGTTGAAGTACTGCATGAAGGAGGGGGCGCCTCAGAGGAGATCAGGGCCCCAACCCCCTCGAAACACGAAGAGGTCACGACGGGCAAGTGTCCGCTATTTCCGGCCTCTGGGGGCCCTCACCCGGCTTCGGGACCATCATCAAACGACTCAGGATGAAAAACCGGTCCCAGGGAATGGATCTGGACCTCCTGGTGGTCGTGTCAGGACAAAATCATGATCGACGTCGGGGGTCTGAGAGCAAGGCACAGATGCTGCACCCCCCCCTCGCGTTCGCCCTTCGGGGCCCCCCAAGAGGCCTTCGTCGCCGAGGCTGGGTTCGCTTCGCAATCCGGGGCGCGAGGAGAGACGGGGGGAAGGCCGGGCAGGGAGGGGCGTGAGTGAGTGAGTGAGTGAGTGAGAACAGTCGCGATGCGAACCGAAACGATACCTACGAGCGCTTACGAGCGAGCTTCTGGGCCTAGCTGAAAGCCTTCGGCCATCCATCGGACTCGATCCGATTCAAATACTCGGCTCGATTCGCAGTCGTACGCCGGAGACATACTTGACCCAAGTTCCTGATGGCACTACTGGAGTAATTCCCGCACTGGGAGCAGAACCAGGCCCAGGGATTGGTGCATACGCATTCTGTGGCTGCTGTGTACCCAGCCGACCCCCACGTATAATTTAACCCCCGACGGGACGGCAACGCAGAGAATCGACCATCAACAGGGTCAGGTTTAAAGCGAGGCTTTAAAACCCATTCGGATTTGGAGGCTTGGGTGGCAGAGCGGTAAAGGAGAGGGAAGGCAGGGAGAGGAGACGATGGGGAGAGGGAGGAGGGGAAGAGGCGCGAACCTCGCAAGCCCTGCACGGTGGCCTGGTGCTGCTGGAACTGTGTCCCAGCCTTGGCCAAAGTTAAGACGAAGCTGCGCTTGCGCCAGTCGCTCCACGCGAAAAGCCAGTGCTCGAGTGGAGGGTTGCTCAGTGCCTCCTGCAAACGCTCGACGTCCGTCAGGAAACGCACCCGGGGGGCGCAAATATCGGGGATCTCCTGGCCCGGCTCAATCCAGATCCAGGTCAGTCAGGCACTGCAGGATCCTGCAAAATCCTGCAGGATCCTGCACCCAAACCCGGGTCAATGCAACCCTGGCCCTGCAAGATCCTGCAAAATCTGGCGCTCTAGCTGAATTCCACTTGCATTGACCCCCGTCTCTTGAGCCCCGGAAATCTTGGCTGCCAGGGCATATCACCCCACATTGTAGAAGGAAGCTGCCAGTCCGGTCCTCCGCAGTCGCACATTCGCCCGGGCCCTTGGCCGCGCGCCGCAGGGACTGGCTGGGCGAGGCAACAAGCCGAGCTGGGGGCGTTTCTAGTTGGCCCTCGTACCCCAAAACTGGCACGGCGAACGTGTTGTAGACCCTCGCGTTTCACTGTGATCCCAACGCCTAGTCCTGCCACATTTCCACCCGGCATAAATATTTGCGCCAGGCTTTGCACCACGAAGAATCACCCTGGCCCGGGCCCACCTGGAAGCCTGGGCATTTGCAGCTTGAGCACACGGGCATGGCGACCGACGCAGGGACCTCGCCCGCTTTCCTGCGCTCGAAAGCGTCGAAAAAGACTGCCTCGAGGGGAATCACGAAGGACCTGGTCATGTTGAGCCTGAGGCCAGACATCCTCTCAAAGATCTCAAACGTGGTGGCCAGGCCTGGCGCGGCCTCCCAGAACTTCCGGCGTACCCGCGACGCGTCGTCCGCGGAGGCTCTCACGACAGCCCCTGGCGAACCCTCCTCGGCGGCGCCCTCAGGAGGAGCTCGGCGACGACAGCGCAGATGAGAGAGGGCTGAGCGGGCACCCCTGCCGCACTCCCACCCTCCGTGCTCGCGGCTCCTTCGCTCGAGACCCGAGCACGGAACGCGGGAGGAGAAGCACCGCATGCGAAGCTGGCGCGTGTGCCGAAAGCGCCTCCCCCCCCACTCCCGCAAGCGCCAGCCGGACGCGGCCGCGCCTGGAAGGAGTGGCGCGGCGCGAGGCGAGGCGGCTCGGCACTTTGCTCTGCCCGCGAGGCAGCCCATTCGAATGCAACGACGCAGGGCCCATCACAACGCCACCTATCACATCTCGCGCGCCCGTGACCGAACTCCAAATCCCATAATTGCCCCACGGGTATAATTTGTTAAGGCGCCTTTTTTGTCGCCAGGGGGGGTCCGATTTATTAGGGCGCTTTCTTTGGATTGGAGCTTAGAGGGTCCCGTTTATTAAGGCGCCCCGTCGAAGAGCGGGGTCCGGAATAGTAGGTCACATTTGGAGGGGGGTCCAGGTATCTAGGGGGGTCGATTAGTAAGAGCCAACCTCATCGTAATACTGCGACTATCACGTTGCCTGGTTCCCCTGGGATGGCTACTCGCGCACTACAAAAAAACATCAACGCTTCACCCGAGGAACCCTTTCAGCGCGCAAGCTGTCTCAAATCCAGCGAACGGGTAGGTCTCATATCCGAAATCGATCAGTTGCCACAGAAAAGTAATCCAACCTCTGCGCGCAACCTCACCATTGCCGGGCCACGTGGCTTGCATCGCCGGCACAACGCTGACGTCGTGGAAGGAACTCCTGTACTATACATACAGATCTCTGTATGTATATGACATGTATGTATATGTATGTTTGTGTATATATATATATATACATATACATTTCGGTATAATCCATCAAAGATCCCCCGATTTGTTGCCCCAAAACGGGAGTCTTGTCTTACCGTACACGGGTGGGGCGGGTCAGGTGGACGGGGAAGAAGATGATTAGGTGATTCACGGAAGGGCGGGAGGGCGGACGGGCGGCGGGCGGGCGGGCGGGCGGCGGGCGGGTCGGAGTTTGCATCGACTCCTTAAGGATTCTCTCTTGCAGCGGGAGCCTGTTGAGTACTGGGTGTTGTCTTGGAGACGGGGGCTGTTCAGTGCAAGGTGTTGCCTTGGAGACAGAGGCTGCTGAGTATAGGGTGTTGCATGCTACGCGGAAGGCGGGCGGGCGGGCGGGCGGACGGGTCGGGATGTTGAATCGACTCCTTACGGGTTCTCTCTTGCAACGGGAGCCTGTTGAATACTGGGTGCTGTCTCGGAGACAGAGGCTGTCGACTACAAGGCGTTGTCTTGGAGACGGAGGCTGCTGAATACAAGAGGTTGTCTTGGAGACGGAGGCAGCTGAATACAGGGTGGTGCATGCTACACGGAAGGCGGGCGGGCGGGCGGCGGGCGGGCGGGCGGGTCGGGATCCTAATATATTCCTTATGGAATTTCGCTTACAGCGGGAGCCTGGTGAGTACTGGGTGTTATCTTGTAGACGGAGGCTGTTAACTACAAGGTGTTGTCTTGGAGACGGAGGCTGTTGAATGCAGGGTGGTGCATGCTACACGGAAGGCGGGCGGGCGGGCGGCGGGCGGGCGGGCTGGCGGGCGGCGGGCGGGCGGGCGGGCGGGTCGGAATTTAAATCGACTCCTTACGGGTTCTCTCTTGAAGCGGGAGCCTGTTGAGTACTGGGTGTTGTCTTGGAGACGGAAGCTATTGAAGAATTACAGGGTGTCTTCTTGACGACGGAATAGGTCCCCTCAAGATTCATGGACCTTGGAACGGACGGGTCGTTCGGGGAACCGCACGTAAACGTGGATATCAGAAAGACTGCGCGGGGGATCTTCGATGGACTACACCCATACGTATATATATATATATATGTATGTGTGTCACATTGTCTAAGCTCTCCAAAACGTGCTCGCACTTAGGGTTCGTATTGCTCCACATGTGTTCCACAGTATGGACTGCACCGCATATATTGCACCACGTATATACTCCTTGTCTAAGAAGAATATACACGCTTCCCCCCGAATTATCGCTTCCCCGTGGGCAAACACAGTTTACACATGATGCTACCACATCGTTGAATCTAAATCCGCCACCGTGTCTTCGGCACGTAGTGGAGTACCCCAAGTCTCCTGCAGCCCTGAGAAGTTCCAGGGTTCAAAAGATCTGTAAAGGCCCGGGCCCCCAGGATCCCAGGCACCGCCGGGCCCTCTTGGGCGCAATTGGGCGCAATTGGGCGTTACTGGGGTGTGTCGCGTGGGCCTCTGGGACGGTGACCCAGCCCAGCAGGACCCCAAAATAGGCGAAGAGGGCCACCAAAAGGCCCCAGGAGGGCCCAAGAGGCCTCCGAGATGTCCGAAGAGCTTTCAAAGATACCCAACATAGCCTCACAAAGCCTTCAAAGGCCCCACACATGCCTCAACGGAGCTCCAAGGGAAGCCTCCATGAAAGCCCGAAGTTTCAAAATTCGTCCCGATCCTTTTGGAAAGCGTGCGTTTAGGGCATAGTCGCCTTCTTGGTCGTCGCCGCGTCCAAGTCGGCCCGTGAACCCTCCACGATCACCCCGATACGGCCCAAGAGGCCGCCAAGAAAGACCTCAGGCGGCCCAAGAGGGCCAGAAGTCGGTCCTAGAAGAGATTCAAAACAATAAACATAAACTGTAGGTGCTTCGCGCGGATTTCTTGGATCTGCGCTGAACCCCCCTCCCCAGCGCACGGAACGCGCCAGGGGCGGCGCCGGAAGCGCCGCCAGGGGGCTCCCAGCGCGGATCGGGAAAATCCGCGCGGAGCGTCAAAAGTTTATGTTTATGTGGTGTTGTTCTTCTTCGCCGTTCCTGCAGGCGCCCAAATGATGGCAAAAGAGGGCTCCAAGAGGAGCCCCAGATGAAGAACACAACATTAAAATGTCTTTCTCCCCGCCCCAAGAGAACTCCCAAGACTGCCAGCAAACGCCCTGATAAGGCCCCAGGAGGGCCTCGGTGTGTGGGGGGGGGTCTCTAAACCCCCGACGTCGCGACTCCTTCATGACGCGACCCCAGAAATGTGGTGCTCCCATCGTGCTTAAGGATCACATCCCAGAAATAATTTCGAGCACCCAGAGAAGTTCGAAACAATGTCGAACGAGTCTCGCCTCGCAGGATTCCAGAGGTCCAGATCCAGGTCCAGATCCATTCCCGGGGACTGGCTTTTCATTTTGACTCG